CACATTCTACATCACCTTTCTGAATGAAACACAATAAATACAAGGTTGAAATACAGAGTGATTTATAAATTCCTACCGATGTGCTATATCGCATTACATTCACGGGGGTAGCTGTAAATAATGTTAGTGAAATGTATTTTCAAATCAATCAATTAATCAGTCAATCAATGTTATATCATTACAGAGTGGTAAAGTCGTAGTTGACTCTGTCAGCATATTTGGATACTTTCCATAATTTTTCAACAATTTCAGTATGCAAATAGGGTTGTGGTAAAGATGCCTTCCATTAATGCGCACGTTTACCTCATTTCACTCCACCCTAGCCAACCAATCTTCCCCTTCATCCGGACTTTGTGATTCGCAACCAGACTTATTTGAGAAGCTCCTTCCCGTCAACAAAAACTGTTGACTACTTGTGGCAAACATCCGAGAACGCTCTACATGGGCATCCCAGGATTCCAGAGAGAATACACTCGACCAGCACTCAACGACATTCATAGAGAATACCAGAATCCTCAAACAGGAATCGAACCCACAAGCGAACCTGAAGACGTTTGTGAGTGATGGTTAAGAGGAAATTATTCAAGTTATGGAGGACTAGAATCCGCACATCATATGAAGTCGTGTATTGCTATGTGGTGTCCTGTAATGTTAAAAGTGCAACCTGGGCCTCAGTAAACTCCACAGTTCACCATGAACTGGTTCCGAGTTTTGGGTACATCAGATTTTTCTCTATACGTTAAGGAAGCGCGAGGCAACTATCACACATTTATGTGAAACACTTATATTAGATATATATTCTGTGGGTGGGTGTGGCGCAGTGGTGGGAGGCCTCCTGCAATACACTTGAGAGCGACTCCTGCGCCCCAGACTCACCAAATCTTCCATCCTTCCGGGGTCGGCAGAATAATGCCAGGCTTTTCTGAGGGGATAGCAGCGGAGTACTTAATAAATCAGAGAGCCACCACAAGTCATTGTAAGGGCAGATATGCATTCAATCACCTCCAAACGGTGCTTAATGAAGTCGAATGCATGGCGCATCTCTCAGGGATTGATCAACGCCGACAGCTTCATCTTTCATCGGGTGGATGTGCCATCGTAATAAATCACTTTAAAAGTTCTACTTACCCATATAGCCGTCCTTCGTCAAGTATTCGTTAATCCTGTTCAGGATCATTCGAGTGAAGATTTTTTAGACGACAAACACATTGCGCGATAGTCGCTGAGGTCGTGAAAGCCGCTCTTATTGAACAATAGCACAGTCGGGCAAGTCTTTCACTAAATAGGGACCTTGCATTCCGGCAGGTAAAGCGTGAAGAGCAGAGTCAGTGTGCTTATGGAAACTAGTAAAAGATTCGTCAGGTGTTCAGATATTATTCTGTCCAGATCTAGTGTTGTATTAGATTCTTCACCGACGAAACAGAATGATTAATTTCGTAAGGAAAAGCAGATGGGACAACATATCCATTTTTCTCTTAACGAATCAACAACCATATGACTGCTGGCCACTGGAGCTAAACAACGCATCAGATATTTGTATAACTTCTTCTAAAAACTTCTAACCACAAAACTGTCGTTTCTCCTAGTTTTTGTAAAGTGGTATAAGAGGTTGTGTGATGATGATGGTGGTATGTTCGACAATTGCCGTCAACAGAGAGACAAAAAGTATAGAAACACAGTTAATGGAGAAAAAAATAGCGAACTTTCCAATTTCTTGTTTTTTCTGGAGAAGTCCTAGAGTTAGTCAAACCCTTTCGCCGCGGCAACTGCCTCCGGCAAAGCTTAACTATGGCACTATGCAGTTATTCTGGATCCAATCAATTAACTCCTTCATAAGTTCGATGAAATTAAAAGCCAACAAACCAGTATAATACGTTGTGACAGAACTTAAAATCACTGAACAACAACAAGTGATACGGTAATATCGCAATAACGCCAATTTAAGACATTAAGTGATGATATTCTAAAAGCATTCATTATATTGGAACATTACTTCCAGATGGTTGACTAACTGTAGCGAGGAAAGATTGTTCGTTTTTTCATACTAAGCTTTGCAATGCCTGTGGCACAATAGCTAGAGGTGTATTGGAACACACAGGTGCTATTACGAACTCTCCTTTTTGAAGCTAACGTGAGGTTATTAGCACTTTTTCTTGAAATACGATGGCTGACGTCCTTTCGATTTTGTCCTGTTTAAATCTTAGGAATGTAAGATGCCCATATTTCACTCTTCAGTTGGTATTCAGCAGCTTTAATGAAAATTTGTTTCACAAACTAAGCTAAAAATCCGCAAACCAAAAGAAAATCACCGTTTTCTTCCTCAAAAAGAGTAAGGTCACCCATACGTGGCTTCTTATATACGATGATCATTGAATCTTCCTTAGCGTACCTCTTGAAAATAGTTCGCTCAGAAAGAAATGCGCGTTTTGAACAAATGTCTTAAAAGTGGTATATCTCTGTTCAGAATAAGTTTTACCATAGTTTCCAAGATCAACTTTCTATTAGCCTCGGCAATGGATTATAAATGTTTCCTTCTTGATAAGCTTGCACGAGGTTGATAAATATATTTATTTTCGGCTAACGTTTCGACGTCTTCGTCTTCCTCAGAGCCGATGATCCGAGTCGATGGTCCATGCTTGTTGTTCGCCTCGACGTTGCGTCTTCGCCTTCGTGTCGAGCCAGATCTTCCTCAGTGAGCCATCTTCTCGAATGAGGCATCCTCACTCAGTGATGCCCTTTTATACACAGCTGATAATACACCGACCTCTACACGATGTGCGCAATGATGTATGTCCGGAAGAAATACAAGTTGTTACCACCGGACATTGTCATTATATATCCACCATCAGCATCGTGTATAAAAGGGCATCACTGAGTGGGGATGCCTCATTCGAGAAGATGGCTCGCTGAGGAAGATCTGGCTCGACAGGAAGGCGAAGACGCAACGTCGAGGCGAACAACAAGCATGGACCATCGACTCGGATCACCGGCTCTGAGGAAGACGAAGACGTCGAAACGTTAGCCGAAAATAAATATATTTATCAACCTCGTGCAAGCTTATCAAGAAAGAATACATATTGATTTGTCACACCGAGGTTTAGGGAAGGTCGGTTTCGAAATATTACTACGCTTTGTGCTAGCTGATANTCTCGAATGAGGCATCCTCACTCAGTGATGCCCTTTTATACACAGCTGATAATACACCGACCTCTACACGATGTGCGCAATGATGTATGTCCGGAAGAAATACAAGTTGTTACCACCGGACATTGTCATTATATATCCACCATCAGCATCGTGTATAAAAGGGCATCACTGAGTGGGGATGCCTCATTCGAGAAGATGGCTCGCTGAGGAAGATCTGGCTCGACAGGAAGGCGAAGACGCAACGTCGAGGCGAACAACAAGCATGGACCATCGACTCGGATCACCGGCTCTGAGGAAGACGAAGACGTCGAAACGTTAGCCGAAAATAAATATATTTATCAACCTCGTGCAAGCTTATCAAGAAAGAATACATATTGATTTGTCACACCGAGGTTTAGGGAAGGTCGGTTTCGAAATATAAATGTTTCGTTTTTTTTTCAACAGTCGCGAGGTTGTTGAACAGCATACGTTTACTTCCTTTCAATAACACACATACAACGCAATCGTAGCTGACGTTTCGGCAGTATCGCCTTCTTTAAAGCCCTTTTTTCACTTGTCTTCCACCGCTTTCACAAACTCCTTGTACAAGAAAGTGCATTAGCTGAAAAAGTATACAACCTCTCTTTGAACAGTATCTCTGATCGCTCTGTAAAACCCCACCCATTACAGACAGAAGATAAAGAGCACCAATAGTCATCAAAACCAGTGCCTGTCCACCAATCCACCAGTGTCTATCTCCGAATCTTCCAGTGCTTATCTTCCCGTCCCTCAGCTCCAGTGCTTATCTTCCAGTCCCTCAGTGCTCCAGCTCCAGTGTCCGCCTTGCTTCCTTCAAGTGTATCACTTGTTCCCATTTCAATCCCGCTCGTATCCACCTAGCTTACATATAGTCAAATATCACATATTATCATTATATTGTTGTTGTTACTATAAACTGTTATAACCCAAGCTCGAGGTTGTTCATGGCAGTTACGGAAAAAAGTCCGGCGTGGCGAAATATAAAGTCGAGCATTCCACGTACAGTTGGCGGACAAAAGACAAATCCGACCAACTCCCTAAACCACTGGCCAACTAGCACAAATTGGTGCATTGGCACATCCTAGTCGAACTATACGCTCAACTCAACCCACGCTCAACGCAACCACTAGGCCAATCTATTGGTCATCCTACCCAATATTCTCCTATTCTGATATTCCACTGTATCTGCCATCTCTACTTCAAGCGACCAAGCATCGCTCAAGGAATCAAGCAACAGCTCGGACAACCTCACGAAGAGTAGCCTACGTGCAAGTACGTTTATTTGCCATATATCGGAACTAAGAAAGGAAAAAAATGTCGAACACTCTTTGCTCCTGCTTGGACGCTTTAACAAAGGCCATTAATCGTCTCAAATCCTCATTTAGCAAATACTACCAAGAGGTAAACTCTCTAGTAGACGTCCCTCCTAACGAACCTCAACGAACAGAATATCTCGTTGCACGAAAAGACGCATAGAACAAACGACACCGGCCATTACAAAGGATCGAGACAGTTTGGAGGCAGCACTGGACAATTACACTAAAGCGGCAGACAACTTCGAGCTGCAAACTCCAATACCAGAGGAACTAAAGAAAGGTATAAAACTTGACGTGAATAGGTTAATAGAACATCTCGATAAGGCAGAAGACTGCCTCTCCAAGCTTTTCGACCTGAGGAATAAACTAGACAGCACAAGAAACAACGCTCAAAATGACTCACATACCGCTCCACCGGTGGCAAATCTACAGCCCATCCCTATCCCCAAATTCAGCGGAGATATATTGGAATGGGAAGCATTTTAGGGAGCATTCGAGCACTCTGTCCATTCAGCGCAGATGGACAATCATTTCAAAATGAACTATCTATTAAACTCTCTTTATGGGAAGGCTAGAACATTCATCAAGCAGTACGAAATTTCACGCGAACCTTATCTCATAATCATAGGTCATCTAAAGGCCACGTATGGCAATAAGCAAGCCGTCATAAATCATTTATTGAGCAGGATACACAGAGCACAAGCAAACAGCGAGCGACTAGAAGACCAAGAAGGAGAAATAAACATGTATGGCTTCAGGATAGAGCACCTGATGGCATTCTTAAAAGAATGCTTGAGCTGCTCAATCTTCAGATGGTCTGGAAAGTACTACACTCAAATAAGAGGGTTGGCAATGGGACAACGACTGGCTCCAAGCCTTGTCATTGCATTTATGTCTAAGGTGGAAGCACCGGTGACTGATCTCGGGCCGCTACTCTACTGTAGGTATGTAGACGACTGCTTTGTCCTTTGCTCAACACAAGAGGAAATGGACAGATGCTTCGAATTGTTAAACGCACAGTCAGAGTATGTCAAGTTCACCCGAGAAAAGCCGTAAGAAAAATGGCTTCCATTTTTGAACGTACAAATTCACCTATCAGAAAATGGCTACATTACAAAGTGGTACCGAAAGTCAAGTAGTAAAAATATCTTGGTTCATTACCTCTCCTCTCACCCCTCTCACACGAAAAGGACGCTTATAAGAAACATGTTTCGAACAGCAACCAACGTGTGCACGGGAAGAGAGCAGAGAGAGGAGTCCCGGAACTTGGCACGGCAAATAGCCGTTTCTAATGGCTACGAAACTGTAGCTCAGAATAGGTGTAGAGGAAATCGCAGGCCTCCAAACGACAACTCTAGCGATNTCAAGTTCACCCGAGAAAAGCCGTAAGAAAAATGGCTTCCATTTTTGAACGTACAAATTCACCTATCAGAAAATGGCTACATTACAAAGTGGTACCGAAAGTCAAGTAGTAAAAATATCTTGGTTCATTACCTCTCCTCTCACCCCTCTCACACGAAAAGGACGCTTATAAGAAACATGTTTCGAACAGCAACCAACGTGTGCACGGGAAGAGAGCAGAGAGAGGAGTCCCGGAACTTGGCACGGCAAATAGCCGTTTCTAATGGCTACGAAACTGTAGCTCAGAATAGGTGTAGAGGAAATCGCAGGCCTCCAAACGACAACTCTAGCGATAGAAGGGTCCCGTTTATCCTACCCTTCATGTGAAATGATATAAGTACAGCTATAAAACGCTGCTTAAGAAGGGCGGGCTTAGTGAATTCGGTGAGCGTAGTTGAAATACCACCGAGTAATCTTAAGCGCCAGCTAGTTCGTAACCGCCTATATGACCGTCTATGTGCAACTCAAAATTGCATAATTTGCCCCAGTGGTAGAGACGGTGATTGCATGAGCTCGGGTATAGTTTATCTGATCTCCTGTAAGACGTGTGGTGACGAATACATTGGCGAAAAGGGTAGACCCCTCTGTGTCCGCATGAAAGAACACCTAGCCGGCAAAAATAGACCAAATACCCCGCTAGGCACGCATAGGACCCAGAGACATAACGGGGACGACTTCGAAGTATGTGTCACGATCCTCGCACGCGAATCAAGAACACAGGCGCGAAAAACTCTCGAGGCACTCTGGATTAATTCCAGAAATCCGAAAATGAACCGCAGGGAAGAATGCCTCATTATCACGCGTGATATAGGGCAGTATATAAAACTGCTTTTCTGATGGGAGGGGCACATTATACTTCCACGTGATTTCTGTGCGGTTGNTTCGGTGAGCGTAGTTGAAATACCACCGAGTAATCTTAAGCGCCAGCTAGTTCGTAACCGCCTATATGACCGTCTATGTGCAACTCAAAATTGCATAATTTGCCCCAGTGGTAGAGACGGTGATTGCATGAGCTCGGGTATAGTTTATCTGATCTCCTGTAAGACGTGTGGTGACGAATACATTGGCGAAAAGGGTAGACCCCTCTGTGTCCGCATGAAAGAACACCTAGCCGGCAAAAATAGACCAAATACCCCGCTAGGCACGCATAGGACCCAGAGACATAACGGGGACGACTTCGAAGTATGTGTCACGATCCTCGCACGCGAATCAAGAACACAGGCGCGAAAAACTCTCGAGGCACTCTGGATTAATTCCAGAAATCCGAAAATGAACCGCAGGGAAGAATGCCTCATTATCACGCGTGATATAGGGCAGTATATAAAACTGCTTTTCTGATGGGAGGGGCACATTATACTTCCACGTGATTTCTGTGCGGTTGGTCTCTACGTGACATACTTAGTGGAAACCTCATAGAAAGCGGTGAGTGTGCAAAGCTGTGTTCAAGATGATTGAAATCTTGGTTTGGAGTTTCTTTGTTTGGTTATGGAGGCGTCTGGCCGAGTGAGTTGCTATCAACTTGACCTTTCCAGGCTCTGAAGAAGGCGAAATCCGCCGAAACGTCAGCTTAATCGTGAACAAAGAATAGTAACACCTAGCGTTTGCTCAACAAAAATACGAAGAAAATCACTTGATCAATGCCGAGGTTAATAGAAAGTCGGTCATGGCAATACTTATTGTCCTTATGAAAATGGATTAGGATTATTTCGTACTTTCGGGCGTCAAAATCCCAAAATGCAATTTACAAAATTTTTTCTGTTTCAAAAGCCACGTATAATCGGACGCTCCATTGCAACGTCGGTATTTCCGGATTGCGGTAGATTTAATGAACCGAATAGGACTGTGAAGAATTTGTGACATATATCGACAGCTATAAATAGGATTGAATTGCTCGCTATTGATGATTAGAAGCACTACTCTTCCTGGAGTAGTTGTAGAATAGGCGATTTCCTTATCCCTAATCTAAAACTAAAGCCATTGTCGGAAGTGCTGACCCTGATTGTAATATTTGATTGTCATGAAAGTGCTCTTGTTTCGTGCTTTCTTACATTAGAAAATGCTAATCAGTTTGGAGTTGAGTAAATAACTTAGGGCCGATGCTCCGAGTAGGCGACCACAGTTGTTCGGCGTCTCGATGTGGTGTCTTCATCATCGTATCGATCCGGATCTTTTTAGTAGAGCATTTCCTCCGGATAATCTGTCCTTGAGAAGTCGGTATCATTATTAGCTAGCATGCAGCATAACAATATTAGTGTAAAACGTAATCCGCATAGTCAGCACTGCACCAAATGTAAAGTGGGTTAAATTGCGAATTCTGGCTTAGTAGAGCTACAAAAGTAACGTCTATAGTTTTTAACAAGAATGACGATACCGGATAAAGATTTTAGCCGTGGTCAATAATTGTAGAATGGGCCATGCATTCGACTTCGTCAAGCATCGTTAGAGATGATTGAATTCATCTATCTCCTATTTGGTGACTTGTGTTTTCCTATTGATATAGCAAGTCAATGCTAAAATCCGGCCAGTTAGATCTGTGCCAATTTGCGGGCACCAGAATCATGGAAGATTTGGTAAAATCAGAGTGCTGTATCGAACAAAATGGCTGCAAATGTACTGCAGGACACGTCTAACTGCTGCGCTACACTCCTCTTAAACACGACAACTTCCCAGTGTTCGCAAAACAGCAACTTCCTATAAACCTCGGCATTAGTAATCGATATATGTATATATATTCTTGCTAACAGCCTTTGTTGAGCTTATGCGAAGTTGTTATCACTCGTTGTCATTGACCTGATTCGGTGGCTAACATTTCGATGTTCACTGGCCCTCCTCAAAGTCCGGACGTATTTTATGTGACGATATCCGTCTAATTAGGTGAACTATCCACAGTACTGATAAAGATCTAATAAATAAATGGACGCCATTTTGTTTAAGAAATACTCACTGTTTTGTTGCGTGTGGAACCAACCGTGTGCTGTTGACGTGAGGTAGGAAACTGAAGTGAAAGCCAACCAGATAAAAAAAAATCACTCCGATATAATGCGCCGGGTCACGGGTGATAGTGATACATTAGCCATTCCTGCTCTTTTGACTTTGAAATTTGTCCAAACCGCCTCAAGAGTCTTGCGCGTTGATGTTTTTGGTCCTTGCTTTGGATACAGACAGCAGTCACTTTAAAATCATCTGCATTGCGCTTTCTTCCTTTAAGTGCACCTAAAGGACTACTTTGTGGAATTTTGAGCTTCCAGTCTAGATGCTTTCTATGTGAACACGAAGTGGTCTACCCGTTTCGCCAATGTATTCTTCACAGCATTCCCTAAATGAGATTAAATATATTGAACCTAAACTCATAAAATTTTCGTCTCTGCAGTTAGTATAGATCATGCGGTTTCTGCTAGCTGTACAAATGACGATAGAGGCGGCTGCGAACTAATTGGCGACATAAGGCATTAGGTGGAAGGTCGACAATCGCCACAAAATTTTCAAGACCACTTCTACTAGGTACTTATAAATGGTCCAACCTATTTTCTTTGATACGAATGGTAGTTTCGAAGCGATCTTGTTTTAAGTTTGAAATATTATTTCCGGGCGTGATCCTACGTTTTGATCTGAGCTGAGTGCTGTCTACTTCGCAGCTGTTGGAAATGGCTATTTTTCGTGACACATTTAGCGATTTTTACTTCTTCTCTTTTCCTGTGTGCACATTTTTAGTCTTTCGGTACATGTTTTTGATGTGCTTTTTTCTTATGTGAAGGATGGGAGAAGAGGTAATGTACTAGTGTATTTTTACCGCTTGGTTTTCAGCACTGTAGCCACTTCCTGAAAGCTTTATTTGGACGCTCAAGTATGGAAACCTGTTCTCGGTTGGCTTTTTTGCGTAGATTTTATAAACTCTGATTGTCTATTTAACCATACAAAGCATTTGTCTATCTGTTCGTGGATGGAATGGACGATAGAGCAGTTTCTGTTTGTCCACAGCAGTGTAATAGTAGGTGAACTTTGTAGATACTCGGTCTTCTAAGTTTCCACGAGATGTACCAGCAAGCCATTTTCGACTTCCAAGAAACCTATTACCATTTAGAAAAAGAATTATTTTAATGCTAGAAGAGATGTACTTTCTTCAGTGCTGATTTAGGCACAAAAGAATGCCTATACCAAGTGCGGCGGCTTCTCAGAGAATTTACAGCAAATACTGAGACAAAACCACTACTACAAAATCAATACCGAAAATTGAATCAAGAATAGGTCAGCACGGCAAAGGCCGCGGGTTTAGAGCCTTCAGTTATTTCTCGACTTAAGAACGAACAGCCGATTTGCCCTGTCCTTTACTTGCTTATTAAAACACATAAGCTTACTTCAACTGATGATATTACGTCAACGAACTCATCATCATACAAAGTCAGACCTATCATCAGTTGTATAGTCGGGCCAACGGATAGAACAACGTGGTTCCTAAACCTTATCCTAACCCAGCTGCTAAAATTCATCCCAACCCATCTACCTAACACCAAAACATTTCTAGATCACCTAAGGCGCGTGCAACCAAACAGCACGCATATAATGGATATTAGTTCGATATTAGTTCATTTTATACCAACGTGTCCAATGACTCCGCAATTCAAACCATTCTCGAGTTCCTCGTAGAGCATGAAAAG